CTTCTAAATGTATCGATGTGAACCTTTTCAGATACGAAACTGGAGACCATGTTGGTGTTTATGCTGAGAATTGCGATGAAACTGTTGAGGAAGTAGGGAAACTGTTAGGCCAACCTTTGGATTTGATTTTTTCGCTTCACACTGACAAAGAAGATGGAACACCCCAAGGAAGCTCATTACCACCTCCTTTCCCTGGTCCCTGCACCTTACGTGTTGCACTTGCTCGTTATGCTGATCTCTTGACTCCTCCTAAAAAGGTTATAGTTCTTTCCAGTTTCCAGAATGTAACTTGTTCTGTCTCCATCAGGGGGCTAAATGTGTGCACCTCACACACATTAGTATTTCCTTAAAAAAAGTTACTTCTTGTCTTCAATTCTATAATTCTCATTGCTTGTGCTGCTTTGTTGTAACTTTCAGGCTGCTCTTGTTGCTTTGGCTGCTCATGCATCTGAACCTAGTGAGGTGGACAAGCTAAAGCATTTATCATCACCTGAAGGAAAGGTATCAATCGGAAATCTTTCTGTTCTGTTTCCATGGTTGCATTCACAAGTCTCATGTAACCTGTTGGATGGTTCATGGCTTCATGCTGTGTCTTTCTGTAGTCTATCTGTCATCTTGTCGCTACATTCTATTTTTTATATATCTGCTATGTATTTGTGCAGAACGAATATTCAACATGGATTGTTGCAAGTCAGAGAGGTCTTCTGGAAGTAATGGCAGAATTTCCTTCCGCAAAACCTCCTCTAGGTGTTTTCTTTGCAGCAGTAGCCCCTCGTTTACAGCCCCGATATTATTCCATCTCTTCCTCTCCTAGGTAACTTTTCATAGACACAGTGATTTGGAGCTAGTTTATCTGGATTGGATCTCAACAAATTGGTTAGATGTGTACTATATTCTGTGCAGGTTTGCTCCCTCTAAAATACATGTAACCTGTGCTTTGGTCTATGGTCCAAGTCCAACAGGAAGGATTCACAAAGGAGTGTGTTCCACCTGGATGAAGGTCAGTTGATTTATTTGTGGATTGCCTTTCTTTTCTGTTATGATATTCTGGACCCTCAACAAGAAAGATGTCTATGGGTACACTTTGTATATTATTGCTAGCTAACCCTTTTTTGTCTCTATTTCAATAGAATGCAATTCCTCTTGAGAAAAGCCGCGATTGCAGCTGGGCTCCAATTTTTGTTAGATCATCAAATTTTAAGTTGCCAGCCGATCCTTCAATCCCAATTGTCATGGTGGGACCTGGTACTGGGTTGGCTCCATTTAGAGGATTCCTGCAGGTATTGAAGGAGTTAATTATGCAAGTATTGCAGTCTCTTCTGCAAGAAAGACTCTTAACTCTTAGTTACTTTTCAGGAAAGATTGGCTTTAAAAGAAGATGGTGCTCAACTCGGTCCTGCTGTCCTCTTTTTTGGCTGTAGAAACCGCAAAATGGTAATGGATCACATTGTACACGCATTCTGTATATCTTTGTGTGCTTGCACTATGTACATTTCAAGGGTTGTGCAATATTATTTTCTGATTGATTATTTGTGGCTTAAGATTTTTCTTGCTTTACCATTGTAATATCTGGATCTCGTAATTAATATTTCCTCTATACTTATTCCATTGAGTTTTCATCGTAAATCTCTGATGCAGGTTTGTCTGGGTAATTTGTTGTTGTTGTTGATTTCCACTAGTTGTTTACTTACAGGAATAGATTATCCCTTGGCACTTTAAATGTAACTCTTCATTTATTGATATATTGATTGTTTCCTTTTACAAAATTGTAAATTCCTAGTTAAACCATCTAAAGGTGATCTTTCTTTATGTTTTGTACTGTCATAGTTGACATCTATTTTCTAAGCAATTAGCTGGACTACAGTTGCAAGATTTAGCATGTTCAATTTCAAGTATATTTTTGGTTTCAATTTGTAGGATTTCATATACGAGGACGAGCTCAATTACTTTGTGGAACAAGGTGCGCTATCAGAGCTAGTTATAGCATTTTCACGTGAAGGGGAGCAGAAGGAATATGTTCAGCATAAGATGATGGAGAAAGTAAGTAACTCCTGATGCGTGCTGTAGCATCATTTTATGATACTTACATAATTGTGTGGGAGATTCTGTGCAGGCAGCTCAGATGTGGAGTCTAATCTCCATTGGTGGATACCTGTATGTATGTGGTGATGCCAAGGGAATGGCCAGAGATGTCCATCGAACATTGCATACTATAGTTCAGGAGCAGGTATGGATATAATATTACTAAACTTGCTATGTATTCTTACCAACAATAAAACAACATATGAGACTCCAGTGGGCAGCAATTGATGAGGTCTATTCACGAAGAGATGTCTTGTTCTGGTTGTATAGTTGATAAGAGAAGAAAAATTACTGCAAAATTAAACTTAATGTGGCAACTTGGCAGTTCATATTAAAAGGATTAAAAAATGAATTGTTGACAGTCTGTATAAGCCACTAGCCCACAACTAAGAATATACATAGGCGCTAAGCAGTAATGTCCGCCGCTAGGCTCTGAGCATTTTTTTTTTT